AACTAGATAAAGATATAGGAACACATTTCAAATGAAATGCACTCGTTTGTGTAAGTCATGAGTCCATTTCTATCGATTAAGTTTTTTGGATTAGCCAGATTCTCCCATTTTTTGTTTTCATATCGATGGAGTAGTTAACCTCAATCCAGGGATGAAATTATAGCGAGAATTAATCAGGTTCTCCAACGTTGAAAATACTACGTTTGATTGCAGTTTTTATAGTTGTGTGAAAAAATATCGGAAGCTGTACTGGAAAAGTCAACAATAAAATATTTTATTTTGAAATTATGGTTCAACAGTTTCATATATGTACCAATTTCGCTTTTAATAGAAGATTTTCTCAGTCGGACCAACAACACGATACGGTTTTACAATTATTGACAAAAAGAGTAGTTAGAGGAGTAAAGTAGTTGTATAAGATGGAACAAGGGACTCATTTGCATAGATAGACGACACAATAATGGGCTGAGAGAAAGAAAGAAATGGCAGTGTTCTTCAAGAAAGGGCGGGTGGTGGGCAGGGGCTCCAGTAACGAGGAAAAAATCCAAAAGTACCACTGTTTAAAAAAAAATTCCAAAAATACCATCCAATCCCAAAAAATTCCAAAAATACCATTCTTTTTCAAAATCTTTACCTTTACTTTTCATAAATCCATGTACATTTTGAAATTATGATTATATTAAAAGTTGTAGATCTTGAAAAGTTATGCGGAAAAAAAAAATTCATGACATTCGGATTTTGTAGCACAAAGTTATGGCCGCCCAAAGTTTGACGAAATAAAAAAAAGTCGTTCGGGGTGGCAAATGACGTTTTTTCGAGACGAAAACGGAACCCGACTGTTTGAGACTTGCAAGATCTCAAAAAGTTATTCGGATTCAAAAAATGGAAGCCGCAAACTTTTTGAGATCTTGCAAGCCGCAAACCGCCGAGTCTCGCCTTTCGTCAAACTTTGGGCGGCCATAACTTTGTGCTCCAAACTCCGAATGTTATGAACTTTTTTTTTATTCCTCATAACTTTTCAAGATCTACAACTTTTAATATAATCATAATTTCAAAATGTACATGGATTTCTGAAAAGTAAAGATAAAGTTATTCTCAAGGTCCCGTATATCCACAAATAGTTCCTGTTTTGAAAATTTCATCCTAGTAAAAGTTGTAGATCTTGAAAAGTTATGCGAAATGAAAAAAAAAATCGCTACGATCGGATACCCGAGTGCAAAGTTACGTTCGTTTGAAGTTTCGACCGAACTTTTGGACCAAACCGCTGGTTGGGGTGGCGGTTTTGGGCCAAACCGCCACCCCACCCAGCGGTTTTGGTCCAAATTTTTTTTTTTTTATAACTGCCCCCTAGGCCCGCGGTTTTCGACCAAACCGCTGGGTGGGGTGGCGGTTTTTGAAAAGGGTGGTATTTTTGGAATTTTTTGGGGTTGGGTGGTATTTTTGGAATTTTTTTTTTAAACAATGGTACTTTTGGATTTTTTCCCAGTAACGAGGTGGTGAGGGAGTAAAGGTTGGTTGACAGCACCAATGAAAAACCATGAAATGTTTTCTAGGTGTGATTGCGTGGGACCCGTGGATGTGGATGTGGATGTGAACAAACACACTCGAAAACCGACCCATCCGTCCAATTCGACCTAACTCGCCCGTATTTATCGCTAAAACGGAGGTTTTGGGTTGGGTGAGCGTTTTCTTTTGTACAACCCGCCTCTTTTGGTTTGGGTTTGAATTTTGGATTACACAACCCGTAAAACCCGACTCAACCCGTGTTCCAACTATTAGTATGAGTTCGGATCTAAAACATATTTATGTCGTATATAGTTATATACTTATGAGAAAATTAAGATATTTCGCCATGTTTTTCTCTCATGGTCTCCCTAATCTAATGCATTCTTCGACTTAAAGTTTAGACATAAATTGAATATAGTTATAATTCACGTAATCCTCTTTCTTGTGTACAATTTTAATAGAATAACATATGATGGATGTGTTTGAAATAAATCACATTTTATTAAAATTTAAACAACATTTGTGAATTTTGATATCTTTCACCTTGGTTCATTTGTTTGAAATTTTAATTAGTTATAAAATATTTTTATGATGTAGAATAATTATATATTTTATGTTCGGTTGGGTTGGGTTTTTACTTAAAAATATCGCCAACCCGACCCAACCCAATTAGAAACAAACGGTAGAGTTTAAATATTTTTGGGTGGGTTTGGGTTTGATATTTCCCAAACCGTAGTGCATGGGTCGGGTGATTAAAATGAGTAAACCCGAACCACCCGACCCATTTACACCCCTAGATGTGGATGTGGAAAGTGACCAATTTCCGTCGTGGGAGGAAATTGGACGGTTGGGAATGGCGGTTTGGATTTAAAATTCATTTACTAATACTGAATCGCTATTCGTCGTTCTAAAATTCAAATTTTATACTCTAAAATGAAACAAATTGACATATTTATCCCTCAACTTAATTTCAATTCTAAACCCTAACCAAACAATTTCTAATCCCTTCCTCACCACAATCCAAATTCGTCGCCGGTCAAATCGAAGAAGAAGGCACCGCCTGCTCGCCTCCTTAGCACAAAACAGTCACTAAAGTTTAATTTTGTACGTTTTAATAAAACACGTTTGGATGAATAACAAAACGCTCATTCCGTCCATCTCCATTCGAAAATCCTTTAACTCAGTACAGTCAGCACATCACGTCATAAAATGAAAAAATTAATAAACCAAATCACTTACCCAACTTAACCACACCCAACCCAATTAAACCTTGCGTCAATGTTGAAAGAATTATTTACATAGAAGAACCTAGAGCATGAGGGAGTAGAAAGAAAGGCGTCTACTAGCTTGGGATCTCGGAAGATCGATTCGCCAGAAATAACCTCTGCGGGGTTGAATTTTCAGAAAAAGTAAATATACTCACAAGGTGTTTTGTTAGCAGATACTCACACGACCCAGATTAAACCCTCGTTGGCCCAGCCGTGATCTAAGGGTTGAGGGTGGAGGGCTCTTCTTGGCTTACTTAAGTGAGCTTTTGAAGGTGGTTGTGGGTCCACTTTCATTTGGGCAGGATTTTAGGAGAGGAGAGGAAGAGAGAAGTGACGCAAAAATTTAAGAAGTGATAGAAAGAGAAATTTTCAATAACTTTTTGTCTCTCTCAATCCCCCTCTCTTCTCTGTTTCTCTCCTCTTTTCAAGGGAAGATACATCGGCGAGCATCCCCCTTTGTTATCCTCTTCGTCCACCGCCGTCAAGGGCCGAGGATGATTATTGACGACAACGGCAAATTGGAGATGTCGTCGTCATGCCCGACGATGTTGGGTGAGCAACGAGCTCCTCCTCCCGGCGATGGCAGCATGTCGAACAATGGAGAGAGTAACCCGATCGTCCTTGACAATGAAAGTGGTGTAGATCTATCACCGATATTTGGATATTAGTCTGTGTTGTGTCGATATTAGTCCGAATTGTGCGGATACTAGTCTGTGGTGGTGACTGGTGTGGATATTAGTTTTGGGTGATGACTGGATATTAATATTGGTGGTGTGGATATTAGTTTGTGGATGACCAGATATTAGTATTTTGAGCTTGTATCCCTGTCTTTATAAAACTATATCAATGTTGCAAGGCAGTAGTATCCATGTTTATCTACTGAATTTGTATTAGTGTTGAAATGAACTAGTATTATGTGTTACCAAAACCAATATCCATCCTTCACGAACCCAATATCCATCATTCAACAAATGTTTAACCCCAAAATAACTCAACCACTCGAAATTGATCACATAAATTTATGGTTTAGGGTTTATGATTCAGGTTTACGATTTAGTGTTTATGGTTCCGGTTTAAGGTTTAGAAGATACTGCGGAAATGGTTATGAACACAATGTAGGATGGTTCGATAATTGTCTATGGTGATAGAATATTATTATGTGATGGGAGGATATTAATCTACGATTTGTGGATATTTATCTTTGTAGTCGGATATTAGTCTATATGAGGTGTATAATAGTCTGTGTTGGTGTGGATATTCATTTTTGGATGAACATGTATTGGTCCGAGGTGGTGTAGATATTTTTTGTATGAACGAATATTAGTCTGTGATGGTCGGATATTAGTCTGGGTTGTTTGGATATTTGTTTTGTGTGGATGTTTATCTACTAAATTTGTACCATAGTTTAAATGAACTAGTATCCTGTGTTACATAACCCAGTATCCATCCTTCACCAACCCAGTATCCAGCATTCAGCTAATGTTTACCAAACCCCAAAGTAAGACAACCACTCGAAACCAATTACATCACACTAAATAATTACACCAATTTATGTCAAGTAATTATACTCAGAACTAGTGTCACCTTCCTTGTCTCTTTCCTTTTCCTTTCTCCTTCTCCTTCTCCTTCTCCTTCTCCTTCTCCCATTCAGTGTTGTGTGGCAAGAATATTACTCGGATATTAGGGTTTGGGCTTGGGGTTTAGGGTTCAAGCTCATGCTTAGAAATGGCAGCTCTTTGTGAACGACACTGATATCCCCTTTCATCTTAAAGTTTTAGAATATCATGCTGGTAAGCTCATCAAGCTCATGCTTCCATTCCCAATTCGGTCCACAACTATTCTCTAAGGACCCGAAACCAGGTAAACTAAATTCCTCAGTGCTACATTCTTCAATGCAACTTCCCCAAATCCAACAGCCAACCGTCTCTCTTTCTTCCCAAGCCCCATACACCAAATTGGTACAATCAAACATTTCAAAATACCAAGATTTCAAAATTTTAGCCATAATCCAGGAGAGTGGTCAGCAGCTCGCCGGAATCCCCCGGCGCCTGCAGAAATTCAGCAGGGGAAAACCAGGGAATGGAATCGAACGAAAAGGACAGACGAAATAGCCAAAGTTCTCAACTTTATTACCTATCACTATTCTTACTGAAGAGAACAAGAGAGACATCTTGCCTGAGTTACAACTCAACACCGCACAGGTTATCGCCGGTGAATCGATCTTCGGAGAGCCCAAGCTTGTAGACACCTTTCTTTCTTGATTGTACTGAGTTAACGGATTTTTTTTATGGAGATGGACGGAAAAACCTTTTTATTATTCGTCCAAACATGTTTTATTTAAACCAGTAAAATTAAACTTTAGTGATCGTGTTATACTAATTGATGGGTTGTGTGACCATTTGTGATAATTATCCAGAAAACAGAGGAAACAGAGCACGCATAAAACTCCCCTGCTTTTCTGACTTCTCACTTGTTAACCTCCCAATCCTCTGGTTTCTTAAGCACCATACTGAAATAAAGCTTCAACCTTTTGCTCTTTCTCCCCTCTAACTTATGCTAGTAGTTAGAAAAGAAAAAGAAATAACACAGATTTCCTACTGCAACAACATAGTTTTCTACTAACCTAAACTAGCTGCAGGTCAGGACAAAGAGTGCACATCCGTGCTTCTCCACTACCATCTCCAATGGATCCCCCACAGCTCCATAACGCTGCCCGCTCCAAACTTCTCGGCCTTTACAAGCAGCTTTATGTTCCAGGTTTCTCCCTGGAAGCACCTTGGCCATGTCTGATAACTTGGCCGAGATCAATGTCTTCTCAACATTGAGGTTGAAGAAAGCAACATAGATTTCTCCTCGTCTTCCCGTCGCAATCCAGGATCGTACCCCACTGATCCTGATATCATTAGCTATATGAACAGAACATCAGTAAAAGTAACAAGTTTGCAATTTCAGACCTGTCACTGAAAATCCTAACATGTACTTCGTATATATTATTTCCATCACATTTTCCCTCAAAATTGACTATTTTATGCAAACTCAACCAAATTAACGATATGTTTGTATGAATAAATGCTAATTTGCATATATGGACTATAACTTGTACTGATCAGACTTTGCCTAATTTCAACCAACATTATCTTAACCACTCTCGTCCCTTCGTTCTTCTATTATACGGATATTCGACATGCTGATCTCGACAATTTAGATGAAAAACTTGATGAAATGAGTATTATCTTATTTTCTTAAAGGTTTAGTGACAAGTTTGTGGTGACCGATCTGTTAGCATCCAGGGCTGAGTCGTTGATAATGCAATTGACCATTACCTTTAACTTGTTTTACCCTGACGCATAGGCCAGAGTAACTGCTCCTGAGAGTAGCATTGCTGCTCAACTTCCACATCTGTTGGCAAAAGTTGTTCATTCTCTTAATCCATTGCAGCAATAACCATAGAATATTGTTTGACAATCAATATGAGGAGAAGAAGAAAAAAGGCAGTATATATATACCTGATTGGCATCCCCTTTGCAGGTTGAGAATGAGGGCTGCTTTTTCTTCCACTCTCTAGAAGTAATTTTGTGCCTTGGAGAAGCATCCAAGCAAGACTTCACTCTGTCATCACTCGTGAACAATTGGCGGCTATCTAGGCCATAAAGCACATGATCATTGCTGCATATTTGACAAATTTGAGCTCTAACTATCAGGAAGATAAACATAATGCCATGGTAAATGACGATGAATATGCCAAATGGAGCACTTACGTTGAAGCCAAGAGAGGTTTCCTCTTGTATAGGCATAACGGTTCCTGGTTTAGCTTCTCTCCCTCCTCCCTCCAGCAGATCTGTTCATGGTACTGGTCAAGAGATTCAACCGACCAACCATTTGCATTGGGATCCTTGCAACTCGTTAGACCTACACCCCGGGCATGATGATGATCACTGCCTCGATTCAACATAGATATCCTTGATTGCCTTGTGAGATGGCTCATTGTTGGACCCAGTATCTTCCCAGTAACATAAGGGAACTGCATATGCAAGCATGCCACTTCATCAATAAAAACACAAACTTTTAAGTTTACTTCATTACAGTCGCAAGGTAGGTCAAAGAGAGCAAGCAAGAAACTTTCACATGCCTCCATATTGTTGGAGCTATAATCATTTATCTCCAGCAAAGTAGGATTAGTGATCAATTTGTAAGTTGTCATATCAATCTTTCTAACGTCTCCTCCAAACATGAGCGGAGACCTTGCCATCGACCACAAAGTCATCTGTGAAGGAAACAAAGCAAAAGGCTCATCATATCGGGTTCCATTGGAATGAATAAATGGTCAATTTGTTGTCCACCACCATTCGCATACTTGCCTACCTGAGTTCTTTGCTCATCAAGGGTAAGGTTGCATTGCCTATGAGGTCCTCTATTGACTCCTGGAATTAAAATACTCATATTAAGGAACCAACGTCTTATGGATAGTAAAATCAAGACTCTCCGAAACAAGATCTCACAACATATTTTACCTTGATCAGTAAGCCACCCTAAGGGCAGCATATCCAAATCGGGCCATGAATTTCCAAGCAAGCCCTCACCTGGGACCATTTCTGCCTTAGCAAAGTCCCTAAAGCATTAGAGCACAATTAGCCAATGTAACCAATAAGAATATCCAAAGACAATCATGTATTAAGTCTTTTAACACACCTTGCAACATCAAAATGTGAAGCCACATCTCCCCACGAATCCCAATCATCTGCGGTTACTCTGTACATATTTGCCAATCCCTTGAGCTCTTTAGCCATTGCTGGCGTGACAGAAGTTCCAGGGGAGAGTGAGTATAAGATTGGTCGATTGAGCTTCTTCAGCACCCTCGAGACATATGTTATCTCTTCTAAGTTGAAGTCAGCACCAAATACGCAATCATGCTTAACTACAAAAAGAAGAGATAATTATATGTTTTCTCAGAACATGAAAGATCCACCACTTGGGTATGAAATGAATGAAACGTTCACAGACTTACTGAAATCAACACCCCACTCGGCATACTGGTGATAGAGTGAGCTCAAGAAGGCTCTTCCAGCAGGCAATGAAGTGTTAACACTCATGAAACCATGTGGCATCCATGCACAACTCCTCTCCTTGATCCCTATGTCTTGAGCCCTCCATTCTCGACCGGATTCTTTGTAAGCACGCCCCTAATCAAAATCAAAGGCTCAGCCATGAAAACCAATGAACTCCACAGAAGTGGAAAAGAGGAGCATGTAAGTACCGTGGTAATGTCCAATATAGGGGTGTTAGCATCAAATGCTTGTCGGCTCAATCCTCTCATGACATGGATTCCAAACTTGAGACCCAAACTATGGACTTCCTTGGCAACTTCAGTGAACCCTTTCCCTGACTTGGCAGAAGGCCATCGATCCGGAGCAGGAACCATTCTCCCCCATTGGTCGATCACATCGAACCCAAGAGACTCAACGTAGGCGCCTGGAACTAGTCTTCTGTACCAAAGGTAATCCACCACCACATACTGAAACAAACACAAAATGGAAAGAGTTTTCAGTAATGGGGAAGCCCTCGGATTAGAAAGTTTCTTGGTTGTAACTTAAAATCCTATTGTATACCTCATATCCATGAGATTTTAGATACTTTGCAACAACTTTAGCACTCGTCAAGAAGTCATCCTCAGAAATCGTCCAACAGAAGGAATCGTACGAGTTCCAACCTCTTGGTGGCAACTTAAGTCGGTCAACACCAGCAGACGATGAAACCCTGCAATTTTCAAAAATCAAGGTCTCGTAAAGCTAAAAGAATCTGAAACTTGCTAAGCAGAGCCGAATCTGAAAGTAACCAACTTTTTCTTCAACTTCCCAGAACCCAGAACCCCAAAAAGTTCAGAACTTCGAAGTTCAATCCTTGTGGGTTCATCGTCAATGGCCAAAAGAAAAATGCAAGCTTCTAGCAGTAAAATTAGAGAGTAATAGAGAAAAGCTCCTAACTTAACCAAGAAACTCGTACCTGGGAAGATGGAAACAGAAGAGGAGAGACAGTGAGCAGCAGAAGAAGAAGAAGAGGGAAGTCTTCATTGAATCTGTTCTATCGCAGCTGCTGCTGCTCTCTCTGCTTTCTTCCTTCTTCACTTATAAATGGAGTGTCAAAAGTTAAGAACACGGACAAGACGAGGAACAAGGACTTTATCCAGTTTAATCTATCTTCGGCTGTTAGTTTTGAGAGTGACGCGACCCAAAAGAAAAGAAGATGCAAATGGGAGATTATCAATGCTGCACGACCCTTTCACGCTATAGCAGAAAGACCCAAAAGAGTGAAAAGACAGATGGGGAAACTGGGAATTGTTGTGTTCTGTACTTTGGGTCTCTCATGTCGACACTTCATCTTTCTTTGTTGAACAAGAGGTTTCCTTTCTGAGTAGGAAGTAATTGAACTGGAACATCATCGTGGAACAGAGATTCCTATAAGCAAGGTGATATCGACTGATTTTAGAGTGTAAGCAACAGTTTTGCTCGCGAAAGATGAAGAGCCTGTGACGACACCAATGGCTGGCCTGGCTATGGCTTTGGCTTTCCCTTTTTTTAACGTGGTCAGAGGATTTTCCTATGTTTCCGAATCACATTTTGTGGGTTGTGCTGCGGATAAACCGCTTTAGTTTTTGTCCACGTACGTAATGCGCTTTCTTCTGCCAACCCAACTGATATAACTGCCTTCTGTTAACATAACTGCCTGCAGTTAACAGATATCACCTTCTTACTTACCGTGAAGTCAGTCCTTTTTTTTCGGGGATTGCTATTCGTCGCCCTAAAAATCCTTATTTGTCGTCCTAATTAAATTAATTTTACTATAATGCCCTTAAGTTAATTTAAAACATACCTCAAAACAAATTATAACCAAAAAAAGGAAAAAAAAAATTCTGTCTCGGCCAGCCTGCGGAACATTCGGCCGGCAGACTCCTTTTCAACTGGGACACGGAAACATTGCTGCATTATATCACAATTATAAATAAAGGTGCTTTTCATGGACATAACTAGGGAATTATTGGGACATATCTCCAGCCGCCGCCAGAGAAGTTGGAGAAGAAGAGAGTTGAGGTTAGTAAACGGATTGGGATTGGCAAAGACGGTGGTTGGTTGCCAGAATCAGGGGTAGGAGGGTTGGGCTGGGCAGAGATGGGACTGGAACTACTACCGGGGGATGAGGGAGTAGACGGATTGGGATTGGCAAAGACGGCGGCGGGGGCAGGGGGAGAGTAGCAGGATTCGTCTTCAGGGGAGCTTTGGCGGCGGGATTGGTGGGAGGCGCCGCGGCGGAAGAGGCCGAAAGCCAGGATGAGGCCGGCGACCACCGCGACGGCGACAATGAAGATGAAGATCTTGGTAGCTTTACCCACATAGCACATCTGCGCCATCTTGTCCCGTCCTAATCCCAACAATCTCTCGGCTTTTCAGATTTAGGAATAATAAAATCTGTCCTTTAGTCGAGTGGTAAATATGTCTAGTTAGTGCGTTTTAGGGCGATAAAATTTGAATTTTAGGGCGACGAATAGCAATTCAGTTTTTTTCTTGATCGGAAGCTGTAGTCAGCTTTTAATGATTTGGAATTGTCACATCGTCAAGTTTAAGCTGATCAATCAGATTCAACGGAGGTCTATTAAACCAAACATTCGCTATATCCCACAGAATATTCGTATGCGCCATGATATGCGCAGCTTCATTAGCCTTTCGACTAACATATTGTAAGGGTTAATTGCATGGTTGGTCACTGAGATTACAAAAAACGTTCATGTTTGGTCACTCTAAATATTTAAATCCAATCTTGGTCACTCAAATTAGTTAAATGGTTCAAGTTTGGTCACTCTCCGTCCAACTCCGTTAAATATGTCTGATGTGGCAGTCAACTCTCAAAGTTGACCGTTAACTCGATGACGTGGCAATTAAAAAATAATAAATAAAATAAACTTTAATCTTCTACCATTTCCAACTCATTTTCACAATAAAGTAAAATAAATAAAAAAAATAAATTATTATAAATGGCTTCTACCGTTTGGTCACACGCCCTCACCGCCTTCCTTCTCGCCTCCAATCCGGCTTCAGCCTCCTCCTCCGCCACCGACGACGACGAGGACCTCACCTTCCTCGAAGACGACTCCATAAAGGCTCGGGGTCGAGCATTCACTGCCACCACCACCGTCACATTCAAAGCCCTACACACCCAGATCAGTACCTCCTCTCCATAAAACCCAACTCCTTCCCACCCTCCCAACCAATTCGCTGCCGACGCGCGCTGCCGTCGCTACCTCCGCCGCCTATCAATTCTCCTCCACCCGCCCCAACCATCACCTCCTCTTCTCCCGTCTCGCTTCGCCGGGGAAGCAGAGCAAGAATAGAAACAAGGGAGATTCGAGAACCTTCTATCCAATTTCTGTTTCTTCTGCTGCTACCGAGCATCGACGCCATTGTTGCTGCCGTCTCGGTTCCGCAATGACGGCTGCGGGGATGGAAGACGGCGCGATTTTTTTGGGGGCTCTGCTCGCATCTCTGCTCGGGATGATTCTCCTGTATCGCTTGTTCGGTAAATCAAGGAAGCGAGCGGTAGTAGCTAGGGAAGCGGGCTCGAGTCCTGCGAAGACGCAGAACGACGGGGAATTCTCGCCGGCGGCAGGTACCGACGTAATCATCGTCGGCGCTGGTGTCGCCGGATCCGCTCTGGCTCACACGCTTGGGAAGGTATGTCGAGAAACGCTTGCTTGCTTCCACTTTGGATTTACCTTTCCCCCCGCCCCCATTTCAACTGCGTGGTTTTGGGGGCCGTTCGACCTGGTTGTTTGTCTGTTTCTGGGGGTGGGGGGGGAAATCTGTTCGCCGATTTGCCGAGATTCGAAAAGGCTAATCGTCATGCTTGTTGCGTTTTTTTTTTTTATAATTTTCTGCAGTTTTTCATTTTGATCGGAATCGGGGTAGTGCTGGGCGGGGGATGAGGAGGAGGAGGAGTCGTCTTCGAGGAAGGTGAGGTCCTCGTCGTCGGTGGCGGAGGAGGAGGCTGAAGCCGGATTGGAGGCGAGAAGGAAGGCGGTGAGGGCGTGTGACCAAACGGTAGAAGCCATTTATAATAAATTTTTTATTTTTTTTTATTTTACTTTATTGTAAAAATGAGTTGGAAATGATAGAAGATTAAAATTTATTTTATTTATTATTTTTTAATTGCCACGTCACCGAGTTAACGGTCAACTTTGAGAGTTGACTGCCACATCAGACATATTTAACGGAGTTGGACGGAGAGTGACCAAACTTGAACCATTTAACTAATTTGAGTGACCAAGATTGGATTTAAATATTTTCAGTGACCAAACATGAACGTTTTTTATAATCTCAGTGACCAACCATGCAATTAACCCCATATTGTAATGTCCCACCACCTGTCTCCTCCAATAACTTTCTGATGTTCCTGCAAATCACCCCGAGCTCTGTCTGTATTTCTGAAGAGCGCCTGACACCCGTAACCACGTTCAAACAATCTGATTCCAGTAGTCTCTCTTCACCTTAACACATAAGTATGGAAGTGATGAGTAATTGAGTAGTGACATCAGGGAACTTGGTTCAGACTTTAGATTGGAGATAGGGGAAGTTGGGAATTCTGTAATTTACACAGTATGAAAGGTTAGTACATGAAACTCAAGGTAAAAACATGTTATACTCTCTCTAGTCTTTGTTTGAAACATTGAATACAGACTGTTTCATCAACTTTGTTAAACCCGATCCATTTTCAAGGCACGGCCTTACACAGGAGGAGGCTTGCCTGTGAGAGAATACTAACTATTATGAGAC